TTTTTTTTTTCAAATTAGAATGAGGAGGTCGGATCAAGGGGTAACTTTTAAAATTTAAATGGGAACCTATATTTTTGAAACATGATTGGAGCACAATTTAATTTTTAATACATTTTGACGGGTTGTTTGCATTTATATGTTAATAATTGAAGGCTCTATCAACTATTTAATTTAGTTGCAAATTTATAGAATTCAAAATTGAATAATACTAGAAAAGTGCAAATGTATATTATTATAACTATAATACTCATTTATGGCATTTTACAAATTAAAAATAAAATCCAAATGTCAAAGAATTACTAACATATTATAATGTAAATAAGCTGTCAAAATTCATTAAAAAATAAACGGTGTGAATAATATTCCAAAAATAAAGATTCCCATTTGAATTTTAAAAGTTACCTCTTGAACCACCTTATTGTAATTTAAAAAAAAATATATTTTATATATCTACCTATTAGTATTACCAAATTAGTTATAACAGTTATTAGATTACATGATTCAAAAAGGTTTTCACATAATAGGTACTTTTTCCTAATTATTTTAATACTTCATAGTGAAATCTGCTATCACATAAAATTTGTTATATTAATTAATATTAATATTAATATTAATTTGTTAAATTAATTTGAATATGTTTCTTGTGGTTGTGATACTGCAGATGCATTATTAGTGTTTTTTGATTTTTGTTCTGGATAGAATATATAATTAGAATTTAGGTAGGTATATGTAGACAATTAATAATATTTATCTATTTAATCTATCTAGCCTTTATATAAATTAAAATATTTTTAATAATTTCAAACATGGGTATTTACCATTATCTGAATCTGATGAATAGGTAGGCAAATCATTATCTACACTAGATACATCATTATTATTATCTTCAGAAGAGCTTGGTGAAGAATTTTTAAAACTAATTTTTTTCCTTGATCTTCTTTTTTTGCTATGTTGTATTATTCCATCAATATCTGATGTTTGTTCAGCCAACTTACATCTATGTCTTGCATCTAGTATATTTTCTATGAAACAGTTGATGATTATTTTATAAATTTTATTTCAACATTAGATAAAAAACTATAGAATGTTAAGCCACAGATATAATATATCAAATATGAAGTAGTTTATATCTGTGTGTTAAGCAGTTATTTTATTATAGCCTACTTGAAGATAAAAAAAAATATAGGTACATTAAATTGGTTCTTTAAAGCGCAATGCTAAGTGAAATTCCATGTATAAGTCTAAGGATATCTATCTAAATAAATCTAATATGTTTAAACATTTGATTAAAATGTATTATAAATACTTAAAAAAAAATAAAAAGTTTAAATTTATGAGATTATTGATATATTATATTAATTGTTTGTTACATTTTTCTAAAAACGGAAGCCATTGCAGGTTAACAAACAATAAAAACATATTTGCCTCCCTGATCAATATTTTGTTTAATATTTATATATATTTATATAATTATAATTACAATTCATGGACATAACACGACACATTATAATAATATAAGGTTTTAAAATATAATATTATACAACACATACCTATTATTATTATACAGGTAGGTACCTATTAAATAATAATATTATGAGAGAGTACAAGAGAGAGTACCTAGATAATATTTTTTAATAGATTTAACTTTATAGTCAGTCTACAAAGGGTAAAATTGGCCTGGCCCTGAATATATCCATTCAGACAACTATATATGGATTAAGATAGGAAATGCAACTGATTTATTAATTTATTTGATACATCACGTAGTACAAGTGTACGTAAAAAAATGATTGGGTTTACTAAATTTAATTCCAAACATTAAATTTGTTGTATGTATAAAAGGTTAAACCTATATCGTAATGTTAATTTAATGATTCTGATTTATTCATAATTCCAAATAAATAATTTTAAAATTAATTAAAAGAAATTCTTACCAATTTTTTCGCAGCCAGGAAACATTCTGGCTTTTAAAAACAGAAAATTTTTGCTTGTTGGTTTTTCTCGTCTTTCGATATTTTTTGCCGAATTATCCATTGGCCAAGCACATTTATTGTTGTACTTGTTAAACCAAAAGTCCGGGACAACTTCAACGGTGTTGTCATTAAAAAAGTGTACCACAGACCACGCCATTTTTTGAACACGTTCACGAGAGTAAGAATGCACTTTCTTAGTTCTTTAATTTAGTAACGTAAATCGTTGGTACTTTGGTAGCCATTTGTCAATCCTTATGAAAGTTAGGTTAGTCACGGAGCACAAAAACAATACGGTAACAGTAAAATATAGAAATGCATCACGCACAATGCACAAACCGCAGCCATCGTTGTGTTGGAGCTTGTCACGTGACTCGTGAGCAGCTATGGGGCCAACAACACAGTCAGTGATTAATATAAACAAATGGAAAAATATATAATAATGATATCAGAACCATGCGCGCCGGGTTTTCCAGTTTTATTCATAGACACAGCTAGAATTTTCTTACTCCGTCTTATCTATATTCCATAATTTATGGTTTTGGTGGTGGTAAAAATAGTGTGCGCGTACGTGGTACGTCCTTTTGTACGTACAAAATATAAGAATTTTAGAATAATTGTAATTTGTAATATTGAAATATTTTACATGCTATTATACTAAATTACGAAACATATTTTGGTTGAAAATAAACTAATATTATACTGACCATCATGGTACCATTGTTATTATGTAGGTATATAATAATATGAAATATGAATTACCTACAATTAAAACATATATTATTGACAAATGACAAGGTAATAGGATTGTTTTAAAAATCAAATAATAATAATCTGAAGTAGGTACACTAATTTGGTTAATTTTAATTTTTCAAAAGTCAGTAAAGTACTATAATAATAATATAGTGAAATAACAAGTATGTTATATTCTATAAAATGTAATATGGCCTGTGGGTAATACTATTACTAATTATAAATTATATTATACAATATATACAGATTTGTACAAAAACATTCTCAGTTGAAGTTTAACAAATTTACAATACCTACAACTTATATAGTTAATAATTATACAATAGCACTATTAGAAGATACAGATTTATTATTATTAATTACATATATATAGTACCTAGCTAATAAATTAATATTCACATTAAAAAAAATATTATAGACATCATTATATTTATAATAGGTATTTTAACATGAAACTATATATTATAATTATTTTATTTCAATAAATAAGGTGGTATTAATGGTTATGTTAATTCACTGAGTAGTATGAATAATAGGAATAGCAATTGTTGTATTTTTACTGTCATTTAAAAACATGAACTTAGACTTTATATGTTTAATTAACCACCAGCTCAACGTATCATCTAAATCATTAATTGTAAAAATATTTAATTTTGAACTTTTTAATGGTTTTAAGTAATAATCCGAAACGGTTTTAAATTTATAACCAACCATTATAATTTCATCATTAACTGCAGCAAGACATATATTTACTATTTTTACAACCTCCCCATCATTTGTCTGCACATAACAATCGGCAATGTTTTTTGTTTTAATTTCACTATCTTTAAATATCATATAGTTATATTGGTATTTAATCCGTACATCGATTGGTAAAGGTCCTTCAATGTGTCGGTTTTTAAATACGTAATCACCATGTTTAAAATTGCAATTATTAATCGATAAATCGGATACATTATTAAATGATATTTGTTCTGAATAACGTTTTACTGCTTGTTGAAGAGGTTGATGACATTTTCGCATATATTTTTTTTAGAACCATCATATGATTCTCGAACGGAAACGTACTACAATTATCCAAATTACCAAATTGTTCATAATCATCACATAAATGTTGTATTGAATGCACATTATGGGATAACCATTCTTTACCATAAATATCACTAAACTTTTTAACAAAGTAGGTCAATAAGTCCCTGCTAAATTTTAACAAACTATCGTTAATACTTGGTGTCAATAATAAAAACATGCCAACATGTAAAGTTAGAAAATGAGCATAACATACATCACTTATCACATTTTTTTAAAACTACGGGACCTAAGTATAGAAGAAACGTTCTTAGTTCTGTGGCTTTCCAACGGTTTATTTCATCGGTTTTCTTTGAAAATCACTAGGTATATATGATTTAAGTGATATTAGTTTTAAGCTTAAAATTTTAGTTTCAGAACCACGGATTCGCACTTTTAAAGGACCTTTAAGCCACAAATTAATCAGCTTTCTCATTACTCCCAAACATATAAGGTGCATATAATCGAGAGAGAAACAATTAACAATGTTTATGTCAGGAATATTAATTAGAATTGACATAGATGTTCCAATATGATGTTCTTCTTGATTTTTATTTATAAAATGTTCATGTGTTCGTTTAGCACAATTTAAATCGGGAAAACAAACTCTTCGTTCTAAATATTCACCCTCTACTAAACATCGGGAACATGAAAAAAAACCACTATGACCTTTTGTTTTTAAAACGTAGGCTTTTGCTAGGACATCACAACAAAATACATCTAATACAATCTTAGCTTTACATAAAAGCCCGTTTTTATTAATTATCTCAATACCATTATTAATTAAATTTGTAATTTCTTCATAAAAATCTTGTAAAAACTGATTGCTTTCCGATGGTTTATCTTTTCCCCAATACAGTCCAATCGGGAATACTAATTTAGAGTTGGGTCTTATATAACCTAATATGGGCCAAAACGTACTAGTTGAACTTTTGGTAAGAGGTAATCCATCAATACCTACAACTAATTTTAAAACTGGATTTTCACATTTACAAATATAATTATTTTTAATACCGTTTGCAATGCCGAAATGGTAATATTTTCCTGGTGGAACATCTTTTAAAGGTATTTTTACATGTGACACATCAGTTCTAACTAAAGTTCTGGCATCCATAGGGAGAGATGGATCATAACAATACTTTAAGATTTTAAGAAGTTCCGACAAAGATACATTTGTAATATTATATTTTACAGCCCAATTAGCGAGTTTCATAGTTGCAGAATTTGATTTATTTTCAGTTACTCTTTTGCCTTCACGTTGTTCTTTATCAGATTCAGAACTCGATGTTTCTGAATGGTTTAAATTACAGTCTGACAAGTCATCATCAGTATCATAATGTGATTCTGCAGTAACGCAGTTCAACAGTGGTAGATCGTCGTTTGTGTTATCTATATTGGTACACACATATAAAAAAAAATATACTTGACATAATAATAATTAAAATAATTTGTGTGTTTTAGGTATATATTATCGTAATAGCTATACCTGCTTGAACCCACATATAACAGACAACAATAAAACTAATAAAAATAAACTTTGCTTGCTAATTTACTAGAAATTAAGAAAATTAGATTTGTTTACCAATCATTAGTAGAATCAATATAAACTATGGTATTATTTACTATTTGGGGATTTGCCTACTATATAACACTATATCAATTCAAAATTATAGAAAATCGAGTAATAAAAAAGTAATGAGTAGAGCGCGGATTTCTATGCAATTGCATATTTTTTTCCTTTTAATATTTTTGGATTTTTGTCAGTTATCACTACAAATCATCATGATTTGAAGCTAATGGTGAAATCTTTTTTTGCATATTTCTGCATATTTAAAGGTTATTGCATATTTCGGCAAAATTCAAAATTTATTGCATATTGAAGCGAAAATTTATTTTTTTCATACATGAAAGCGTTTCAATAATTGACAAAACGAAAGAAAAAAATTCATTCTATTCCTGGATCGAAAGGTGTAACACTTACAACAAAATTAAACGAGCTTTCCAACAAAAATGAAGTTCTGAAAATTCTACGAAAAATTAATTCAGTGTTATTTGGCAAAAACATTCAGTTCGAAGATCTTTATCAAGATCCGACAATTCTAAGTTGCTTAAAATATGCCCCCAATTTCGGTTGACGTTGAACGTTTGTTCTCAGTCTTTAAAAATATGTCAACCGATAAACGACACAGTTTCACAGAAGAAAAACTTGAAATGCATATGATTATTCATTTTAATAATAAATAAAATTTAAAAAATAAATTTAGTTCAGAAAATTCCCTAAATTTTTTTTTATTAAGTATTTAAGTAAAGTTTTATTGTAAATTTTAAATAAATAAAAAGTTCTTGCATATTTTCATAATTTTATATTTAAGTAATTAATTATTATAAGCTTTATTGTAAATTTTAAATAAATACAAAATTCTTGTACATTTTTTACATATTTTCATAATTTTGACTGCATATTTTTTGCATATTATCATGATTTTTACTGCATATTATATGGCATATTTTGATACTTTTAAGTGCATAAAAATCCGCGCTCTAGTAATGAGCAATGAAAAAGCTGGTAAGTGAGATTATGGTGGTGTGAGTTTGTCCTTCGTCCCTTATCCGGTCCTCGGACAAGATAATGGTGATGAGTGTATTAAGTTTTAAAGAAACAATGACTCATTTCTTTAGTATAAAATTATTTATAATATAATAATTTTGTACTTTACCGTTATTACTTATTAGTCTAACAGATAATATACTCCCCCCCCTCAAAAGAATCTTCGTACTATGACAACTAGGTACTATTATCGGTATACTACTTATTACTTATTACTTTATTAGATACTATTATGGGTTATAACTTATGAATTATGATAATTATGGTAGGGATATACGATAATTATTTGAATCATGAACCTCACGATGTCGATTACTTGACGACTCTGAGGTACCCGATAACGAATCATAACAATACAAATTATTATTTTGTAATAATTAAATTATTATTTTGACTAAAGTCCCCATCGGATAATGCTTCAGTACATTGATCATTATTTTCTAATTGTAATAATTGTAATTCATCTAATACACGTCTCCTCTTCGTCGATTTACTCAATTTATTCATAACTTTTGATTTGAACATACGAAACTATAAATTATCAATCTTTTATTAAAATTAAGTTATTAATTCTATAGATACACCATACACGTACATTATATGTTGTGCAGCTATATTTATAAATAATAAGTCACACAAACAAAATAATAACAAAAAAATTATAATTATGTTATCATATAGGTATTAATTATATTTGTTATCATTTTATCAATATCAGTATTGTCCATAGATAATAAAAGATTTTTATTATCTATGGTATTGTCGAATAATTGTTATTACGATATCAATATCATAATTTTGTTGTTTTGAAAATGTCACACGCGTGATGTGATGGATTTCATGTCGGCCACCGGTCGTGCGCACACACGTAGTACGTACGTACCTATTTATAATCAATGTTAGTACGTACACTCGTACATTGTAGATCCACTTACAGGTGTCGAACGTGCAACCGTAACCATCATT